AAAAAAAAAAAAAAAAAAAAAAACATATTAGGAAAATGTCAAGATCACTGATGTTTGCTTAGAATGGTCTTCAGAAGTCTAAACTGAAATTAGCTTAGTGGAGTGTTTCCCATATAAAACTTGCCATCTTGGACTGGGAATCCTTTTTGGGTCAGAATTACTTTTTAAGTCTAACAATTAGTCCAGCCAGAGATTTAATTGATCCATGGTTGTTTACCCACCAACCACAAAAATTTAATAGTGTAGGCTGGGTTTGAAAGTTAGTGGAATTTGGGCAGCTGACTCTTCTGTAAAGTTCAGCCCAGAGAAACCAATAGACACACACACATATTTTGGAATCCTAGAAATGGAAGCAGTCATTTTCTTCCTGCTGTAGCAGAAAGATTTGTCACAAAAGATGTATTTGCATGCAGCTAACGAGGGTGGAAAAAAGAGGAATGTGTCAGATTCTTGCAGAATGTTGGCAGGGTGCCTACTGCCTAGTAGTTCTTGTCTGTTGTAGCCCAGCTAACAAGTACAATGACACTTCATAATTGTCCTGGTTTCACAGGCAACTTGCTGAGACTTTTTTAAAGGCATGTCTAAAACTTGTCTTTAAAGTCTGTCTTCTAAGGCTCAGATGTAACCTCCTGCTGAATTCCTTGGCAACTGCAAAGGCTGAATCCTTAAATTACTGTAATGTTTCCATAAATATGTTGGATTCCTGCTGACATGGGTGCTGCTACCATAAAAAGTCTCTGGCTCAAAAGTCAGGCAGCTTTAAATGAGACCGTTGCAGTCCTGTTTGGGACCTGTAATTTCCAATTGCTGTTTTCCCTTTCCCACCAAAGTCTATCGGAATTTTTGGCATTGACTTCAACAGGGGCAAGATCAAGCTCTTAAATATAACCAGTTTCATTGGAGACATCCTGCCTTGGGCTTTGAAACTTTTACTGTTTCACATATTTATTGATAAAACACATTTGCTCTGAATAGTTAATGGAAACTGCATTTTTTCTTAACCAAAGTCACCTTCAAATGGTGAAGAATAAATAGTGTCCGAAACTGTAGCAAGAGTTAATGGTTACACTATGGGTGCAGAAGCAAATATTTGATTTTCTTGCACAATGTATGAAGATCATGGGTTCTAAGCTACATTTGCTTTTCTGCTTGACCTCTTTCCCTTGCTAACAGGAATTGTCTTGATCTCAAAAAAATCCTGCTTCCAAATAATGTTGTCTAATAATTTAATTCTTGATAACTGATGGTATAATTTGATTTCTTGATTATGCTTTGCTTTTAATATAAATACATATACCTGGTTTATGAAGAAGTAGAAAGCATTCCCATACTTGAAACACATTTATTTAATGCTTTTCTAGCAAAAAGTTTTTAATAGTGAAAAATACTTATGTGAAAGAAGCTTTTGAACAAGGATTTAGATATGAAGTAACAGTCATGGCATATTAAAAAAGGGAAAATATTTTGTTTGGCAAAATATCAACTCTTCATATTTTTTCAGTACAGCAGCTTTATTTGCCTTTAAATGTTAAAACAGTTTTATATGGAGTTGGACAAATAATTTCAAGGGACAAAAAAAATCAAAATTGTGTTGCATAAAAGCAAAACAGGATCAACAACGATTGTATAGTATAGGTTTTTTAACAAACTTAAAGGGCTACTTAATCCTTAAAGTAACTATTGATTGATACATAATGTCTTACTTTGCATATTTGTTGGTAGCCTAAATTTAATAGTCAAGTAATTGAGATTTTGTGCCAAATGGTATAACAGACTGAGACGACAGGGTGTGCTCTGTAAAAGACACAGGAAAAGGTAGGAGGCAAGAAATGTGAATATGACTTTTATCAGGGTATTTTGACAGTTGGTATAAAACATGTCATTTTTTGTTCCTCCATTAAATGATTGTCTTTGAAGTTGGGAGTGGGTTCCCACATTAAATAGAAGTGTGTTGCATTCATATGGATACCAAAAAAAGTCAGTAGGATTTGTGTTCCTACTATAAAAGCTGAAGGAACTGCAAGTATTTCACTGCTCTTTATGAAATTTTGTGTACCAAAATAAATTAGTTTGAGTCTGGAATGGTTTTTCAGAACTTTCTTTTCTTTCACAAATGCTTTGTTTTATAGAAAAGACTTCTGGTAAAGTAATGGAGGAAAGAGAGAGTGGTGTTTACTTACTGAAATAAGTGCTTCCCCATCTCCAGCACTGTACATAAAACACCTTTTGCTATGTGATGCAGAGGCAAGGCTTTTTGTGGGTGATAACCGTTGTTGGGCTAGCTGTATGATTGCAATAGACTTAGACAAGCTTTTGCAAACTGCATTCTTCTTCTGGTCACCACAATGTAAACTATTCTGTGAATCTTACTGATTATGTGTTAAACATTTGACCTCAAACAGCCTTCAGGAGCTAGAGTAACTCCATTGAAATAATGGGAGTTAAGCCAGTGTAGAATGAAGAAACTGGTTAGTTTCTTACCCAGGCCTGTTAAATGGCTTTTTCCTACTGCCCCTCTTTTCTGTGCCTCACATGCACAGGCTTAATACGATATGCACCTGCTGAGTGGGAAATCAGTTCAAGTTACTACTTACTCTTCCATTTAGCCCGCTGCAGGTTTTGGCTAGCTCTTCCCTAGAATAGTGCCAGTTTCCTCCAGACTGAATTTGTGCCACAAGGTAATGAAGGGCAGATGCAAGCCTTATAAAGCTGAGAGTTTTAAAAAAATGAGTACTTAACGCTAGATTCCTAAGTCTGATTTAGGCATTAAGAAGGCCTAAGAAGCTGTTGTCTGTTTGAACATCCCTAAGGTGCCTACTTGTTCCTTAAATATAGATTTAAGATCTTAACTTCAAGCATCCACTTGGTCTAAATGTTTTATTTTCTCATTACATTTAATACACCGAAGTAGAATAAAGTGTAAGTTACCTAATGAAGTTTCAATACAGTTAATTCTGTCAATGCATGATATTAACCTTTTAAGAATTGCTGTCAAATCATCTAGTGGTGTGAGTCCATTTGATGACCGTCTCCACCAATACTGCATTTTCTTCTGATAGCAGTGACTCATGTAATGATAGCATCTGGGATCACTAATGTGCCAAACATTTTTTTCCTTTCAAATATTGCTATACTAAAACAATCTCATAGCCTTGTGGGTAAGCATCCATACAGCACACCTCCATTCTCACGACTTGCTAGGGTTAGCAACTCTACCCATAAACAGCAGGCAGTTGGTGCGATGCTCATAGATCAGGAACAGAAAGGGACGGTCAACAGTGAATCGAATCTGAGTGGAAAGGGGCATGAACCCCACAGTAGTCACAGCCATAGCCTGTGTGCCTTCCTCGTTCACAGTGATTGTGCCTTGGTGGTTGAACTGTAAAATAAAATAGAAAATAAGACTCCAGACACTTAATATTGTATTCAGCAAGTTGTTCTATAATTAACTTACCCAGGAACGGTGAAGTTTAATTGCAATACCGCATTTTTTTTCTGTGCTGCATGTGGCTCCCTGGCCCCCATAATTTCCGTATAGTAATAATTCTCTGGCTTTGGCTTCTGAAAACACTTACACCTGTCTGGCTATGACTAAGAGCAGCCTGACACTGCGCAATGATTAACAGTCACAACGTGACTGGTCTTCCCCTAGGCTGAGAGGAGCTCAGATCCCTTCTGCATGCTCCAGGAGAGATTGGAATCTGTTTAGCTACTTAGCTAAGCTATGGAATATTTTAGTTTGTGTCTACTTGATACATGACAGGAAACGATAAGGAAGGTGAATGAGGGCAGAAGAGGAAAACATTACCATGTTAATGGTGACTTTCTCATCTGATATTCCAGAATAGTTGCCTGTTTCATTAAACAGTTCTTGTATTCCCATGGATTTCAGAAAACCAATCAGGTTATAGCTCTTTTCCAGCTTAAATTTAGGCAGAACCACCTCTCTCGTTCTAGTAAGAAAGAAACAAAAACATTAAAAGTCATGAGGTAACAGGTAACATACCGTGTCATGTGGTGTGTCATATCCTTTGCTTTGCGCGTCTGATATTTCCGTTCTTACAAGTAGGCAGGACACTGAAATGTTCAGGAACCCTGTTCCTCATTTTTCTATGCTTAGCTTTCTAAATGGCGAGGCCATGTCTGTTTAGCAGTAGTTGTACATCTAAAAGCCACAAAAATTGACTGCTGTATAATATATTGGCTTTTAATACCACAATTTTCCATTTGTAAGTTGACCCTACATTTTCAGGTTCAGTTTTATGAAAGCAGCTTTTTCCCTGACTATATGTGGATAATTACCTATGAAGTTCTTGAACTGCTGTTGCCCTTCAGACATCCCACAAGACAGTCAAATAGCCAAGGAAAGGACCCAAAGATTTAAATGCACAGAAAATAAAAACTTGATTGAAAAAACTCTGATCTGGTATTTTTGTGTGCAGAAATAATTCTGCAAGCATGAAAGTCAAATGTAGGAGTGGAAGTACAGGACAATCCCATGTGCAAGTCGAACAAAATTGTCATGGTTCTTTTGGAGGAAAAAGGCAGACTTGGAATCGGTTCCAGTATTTTGCTTAAAAGGCTTTTCGGTTATATTGCTGCAGTATGTGGGATTGTGTGTACAGATGGACATAATTGAATATCCTTGTAAAATGTGTTAGGGAGCTGTAAATTCCCTGGCACAGTAAGCTGAAGTTCTGTGAATTATGGACTATAGACATAATTTGTTTCTGAAATGGAAGACTGTGCAATATTTATAGGATATTTTAAGGCCAGAAAGTCTGTTAGTATTGCCTAGTCCTGTATATCCCAGGCCATAGTATTTTACCAAGTGAATCCTTCATCAAAATCCTGTATCAGTTTTGCAGTTTCTGTATTTTAACAGCCAGACATGATTTAAAAGTTATAATGATGGAGAATCTACCCTATCCCAAGATGAATTGATTTACCACATGATAACCCACATGAGAAGATAAGAGTGTTACGTCACACTGAGTTTTTCCAGAGGTAGCTTCCAGCTGCTGATCTCATTTATGCCTTTGTCCTCAAAGATGAAGAGCAGGACCTTTGTTAGGAAATGTCTCTTCTAAGGTAAACAGATTTGTTGTTTTTTTTTTAAGTCTCTCACTACAGGGCAAGCTATTCTTTTTTTTTCCTCTCAACCTTTGCCAGTCTTCTGAGTGACTGCTTTCTGAAACAATTCCTCTTTTAACTGTGACATCATCTTGCATTTAAGAGTGTAAAAATGCATATGGTTTAAAATAACCTAGCCTACCATATTCTTACATTATTCTGTAGACCTGAACTGTGTGGAGTTTGTTTTTTCATTCCACCACTTTTTCTGTTACCTACAGGCTTTACAAATGACTTTAGTTTTTTCTAAATCATTGATTAAAAATACTCAAGTAGGCTCCATCCCCACGAGCAAGAATGTGTGGTTTGCAGTGCCTCAAAGCCTTTTGAGGCACCGCAAAGTGCGTGTAGCACGTGTTAATCTGTTTGCCACGCTGTCTATTTGCAGTGCAGGGCAAAATTAGATGCAGTAAAATCCCAGTATAAAGAAAAAAAAGCGCCAAAAAGTGGTGTGGCCCACATGGCAGCAGCATGCATCACCCAAAACCAGAGTTGCCATACTCCAGCTGCCCCAGGTGAGGCCCACAAATATGTGCCGCTGCTGTTTGTCCCAAGGGAAATGCAGGTGCACGCTTGTGGGAACACACCCATAGTGTTGGGTCAAGGACAGTCCATTAAAAGACTTCTGGTTGGGTGATAATTCCCTATTGCAATCACGTACAAAGTTTTTAATCCATTTGGTTTTATATCATGCTAATATTTTAACCCGAGGGTAACGTGATACTGAGTCCAGTGTCATATATGAAATCAACGCTTTCATCTTTGGCAACCTTGTAATCTTGTCAAGAAATAAGTTAAGCTTTTAAGACGACCTTTTTTCCATGAAATGTACCTGTTTATCATACTTTTTTGCCATTTCTCCACCGCCTGAGGGGTCAGTTGCTTCTCCAGTGCCTTCAGGCCAGTTAGTTTGTGCGGCAGCACGATCAGCATGCTGATGTTCCCCACATATGGCAGCTGGAGCACAGAGCAGTCTAGTTCAGGGTCTGCAGCAGCCAGGAAGTTCCCTTTCGTCTGCATCATGGGAACCTTGACCGTTTCTTTTTCATTCACACGGAATATTCGTTTGTGTGTCATTTCTGCTGGAAACTTGTTTTCCCAGGTTCCTGTCAATTCAGTGCCAAAAAAAAAAGCTTAAATTTTTTTCTCTGCCCCTAGATAGGAATGTTTTTAAAAAATAGTTTTGGGGATGGGGACTTATTTGGAAATACCAGTAAATGGCTGGTTGTTCATTTTAAGTTGTGGCATCTTAAAGGCCTACATGTTTAATAAGTATCTAGATTTTTAAAAATTGAGATGTGAAAATATATGCATGAGGTGTGTATGAAGGGCATATTTGTCTGGAAATACCTCCAATAGAAAGCATGCTTCCTTGGGTTATTTTGTTAGATGCAAGCTTTAAAGGAATATAGGTCTACAGATCAGTGCAGTTCTGATGTGAGGTATTAAAATCCATATTCATGTTATGTTACATTGTCTCATAACAATGACATACGAAATGACATGAAATGACATTTATACAGAATGGTTTGGTTTCATGACACTTAAACCATTAAAAAAGAAAACTATGATGGTACCTGTTTTGATCATGACCGGGGCTGAGTTCTCGATTATGTGACTCTTAACTCCTGCCAGGTCTTACAAAGAGCTGAGAATTTTTGATACTTTGCAGGATCAGGCAGGCGCCAAGGAGTGGTAGATTAGCTCATGCTAAAGTCAATGAAAAGTACCTTTGCATTGACTTTAGTGGAAATTGGCTAAGGCACTATATGAGGCCTCTTTGGTTGTCCCAAGTGTCTTGATAGGGCAGTGAAGGAGCAATTTTAAAAGAATGTAATTGATGATGTCTTTTCAGCATCGCAGTGTATTTAGAGTTGTGCCTCTGGAATGGGCTTTCTTTGGATAGGCATGGCTGACACTTACTCTCTTAGTTGGGGATATTGGTATCCCCTTTAAAAACCAGGGCTGTCAGATAGCCCTTGGTGAGCAAATAAGTGTGTGGAAGCATTATTATATAACCTTTTAAAGACTCTAACTGTATAGTGTTAGGAAGTTAGTATCTTAATTTTGGTGTTGTGGATCCCACCATAAAACACGTGTGTGTTCACAACATCTGAACAAGGAATTCTGGTGATTCTCTTTGTAAGTTTTTACCTTTACCTCAAAAGACTGCCATTGTGTGGTAGTCTGAAGTGGCTGGTAACTTGGAGAGAATCTGATGCACTTAATGTTCTCCATGCTTCCCTAACTTTGCTGTCACATGCCAGAGAAAGCTGAAGATTGTGTGCTTACTGTTTATCCCCAGACTAATACTGAATTGCACAGGTCACCATTCTTAGTTTTGTTTTCTAATATTGATAATGTTATGTTTTTCCTAACACAGGGTGTTAGGTACTGTAAATATGATATAATTATTCAGAATTATTTTAAGGCTACAAAAGTTGTATGAGAAGCCTTATTACAATTTGAAAAACTGAAGTTGGGTAGGTTTGAGGAGGCAGAACCAAGATTGGGACCATGACAATATATGCGGGGCCAGCATTTTTATAGTAAAAATGCCTTTGGAGGAGCTAACAGAGTTTTAGTTGACTTTTTTTTTAAGTATGGAGATATAGATAGCAATCAGAGGGAAGCAAATTGTTTTTACCTGAGGACCCATCACAGCAAGTGTACCTGCTGACTTGTTACATTGTGTTAGATTTCCAAAAGGCAACCCAAACTTCAGAATTGGAGTTAAGAAGTGACAACTCGGACATAACCACATCTGTTAGGTATAGGTTTTTTGCAGGCTTTAAAAATCTAGCAGTTTATTCCCCTTGCTGCTTTATAGGCACTCATTGTAAAGAGTAAAAGGCAAGTCTGATGTTATCTTGCTTTCTCAAGAAGAGGGCTGCTGCATCATGAATAAGGTGCAAGTAGTGGAGAAGTACTAATTGGAGCTACTCTTGGGGAGACTCTCCATAACTTATCATTATGATCAGGAAGATGGGTATTATGTGAAAAAGGAAAGCATAAGTTCCTTCAACCATGCTGCAAGAAGCCCCCATAGATCAGACATCGTTTGAAGAGTCTTAATTTGACTGTCTCCGAACATATTACTACATAATAACATGAAGAAATGACTTCAGGGTCTCAGCCTGATACCTCCATGAAATATCAAGCCTGGAGGGGAGTCCATTAAGTCAAACATTTGCTGGAGCTGTGATGGCTCATTGGACTAGGATGGTGAATGCACAGTTGGTGAAGTTACAGTTAATAGCCAGGAGAGAGCAGATGTAAATAGGGGTGAGCAGATATCACAGATTGGTGACCTGGCAATGCAGTGCACTCATCTTCAGATGTTTAGAGGAAGCCAGGTTCACAATCCTGGGGACTACAGCCAGCCAGTGAAGAGGAGGCTTAGCCAATAGCATAATAAAGGGAATTGTGGCTTTTCTGTGACACGTTGTGAGATCATGCTCTTGACTAGAACAAGGGAAGAGCTAGGTACAGACTAGATACTTTCTCCTCTCGTGAACTCACTTTGGTGCTGGTATTGTTTGTTTTGGGTAATGTGGGTTCTTTCCAGCACCACCTGAAAGCCAGTCCTCATTTTGGGCCTGGGTTGGGACCAATTTACACTCTACTGATGTGACGTCCGAGCCCAACTTTTGTTATTAACCCTTCCCACAAGCAAGACTTCTCTTTCTCTGGGGTTTAGATGTTCTTTCAGGACACGATAAGAACTTTGCATCAATTTAGAGATTATCTTCCCGGGATTTAGAAGTTATTTTTGTAAGAGGCTTTGCATATATTTTGAATAGAATGAGAAACTGCCAGTGTTTGGGGGTTATGGCAGTTCAGATTCCTCTGTGGTGATCCACAAGGCTTTTATCCCCATTGCTTGTCTTCTGTCTTTTCATGCCAGTCAAGAGCCTCTGGGAAGTAATTCTGGATGCACTAAACAACTTACTTTGCTCATTACTTTGGTAACTAACTGGCTGATGCTTGATATAAAGCCAACAAGGGGTCATTCAGACCCCTAATAAGAGATTGAGAGTGCCAATTCTGGAGGAGACTGGAAACCTACCTATTACAAAATCATTATCACTGGGATTGACTGGCCTCCACTGCCTTCTCAATCACATTCCTCATAAAAGTTCTGAGATCAGAGCCTGCATGGTAACTGGTAAGCAGTCCACTGTGGAGTGTGCATGACTATGCGGGGTGGAGGGTGGAAATGGAAACTTGGATTTCAGAGATGAATATCTGTCTCCCATCCCTGAGGTGTTACCAAAACTTAGCAATAATGATGCAAGAAACTCTAACCTTGTAAACAATCAAGATGAACAAAAATTAGAATATCTGGTAGAGAGGGCTGGGAAACGTCAACAACTTATGAACAAATTTGTCAAGAGAAATAAACCCAAGAAGACTTCAGCCTTGAAGAAGTATATTGGGAGCTTATGGCTCTAATGAGGAAAAGTCCTGGAGAGAAGTGCAGAGTTGACTTGCACAGAAAAGGTTGAGAAACTAGGATTTGTTGGATTCAAGCTGGCCAGGCAATCGGTGGTAGTAATAAGTTGCCATCTTCTGTGGAGTTGCCAGCAGCAAGGGAAGAAATACATTTATCAGGTGTTTGCTGACATCAGAGAAATGTTGAAACCCAGAAATCTTGGGTTCCCTTCTAGACTGTGGAGGGGAACATACTTTAGAGGTCATATTTTTCTCATCTTTCTCCTCTCCAGTGTCTCCTAGTGTCATATCTCCCTGATGACTTCCTGTCCCAATCTCTGTCTCCCAACTGGGTTTCTCATCCCATCCTTCTTGTTCAGCGAGCCCTTGTAGTCCCTTTGTCCTAGGCTCTTCATCTTATTTCGGTCTTCCCCACCATCTCCCCCAGATTCTTTCTGTGTTCCTCATTTCAGTCTCTTCCCTGTCAGTCTCTCTAGGCTTGTCCTTCAGGCATCTTGTTCAGCTAATCCTAGGCCTTCTGTCATGTTTGGTTTTTAACATGAAGGAAATAATAAATTTTCTTTCACTTGTTCTGAAATGGCTTTTGAGACAAAAAATTCAAACTGAGGCAAGTGACCAGCCTGGAGAATTTCTGCCCAAAGAATTAGTTTGGCAGGATTTTTAGAAGCCTCTCAAAACAAGCATATAATGAGATCCATCAGACTTTTACCTGTAGACAGACAACTAGCTGCTGGTAGCGCTCTGGGCATGGCCCTGAACCTGCTCTCTGGCATGTGGCAGGTCGCCCTGGTTGGGGCAGGGGAGGCTGGGGCGAGGCCTGGCCCCAGCAGTCTTACCTGAGATCCTGGGTCTCTCCAGGGCTTCAGCAGCGGTAATCCAGGGACGCAGAGCCTGGCTCTGGCCAGCCAGGCTCCAGTTCCAGGTGGCACATGCTGCCACCCTGCTTTTTTCTCCTGCATGTTTTGGTTTTGGTTTGTTTTTTCTCTTGTTTTGGTTGGTGTTTTTGACACCAGAATCTCCCAGTGTCAAAAAACTGCCACTCTGCTAATTAGCAGTGCTGCAAACTGCACATGTGCACTCATGGCGACTCACCCATAGTATCTCAGTGTCCTGTTTTAGCTTTTTCAGGCCATGCCTACACAGTAAACTTACTGTGCCCTGCAGTGGTATATTAAACCAGAAGCAATGCAGCTGCACCCACACAGCCCTCTTGCTGTGCTAATTATCACTGCTGGGTGACACTGCTAGTTAACCTGTCTCTATACCTGTGACACCATGCAGACGTGGTTACGCTCCCGATTTTGTGAAGCAACTTGTACAAAGCAGCCTAGCATACTTGACAGGATTCTTGGCAGGGGAAGTAAATTTAGGCATGGCTTAGACAGTCAATCTGTTAAGGTAACAACTTTTCAGCCCCTTCAGGACGCTCTTAGTTTGCCCTGCATGTGTTCATAGAGGACACGTATACTTTAAGCTCAGGTTCCCTGCACATGGCTGCTCCTCTGAGTTCTGAATATTTCAAAACAAACATTTTGGACGAAATCAACTTGGAGTAGCTGCAAAAAAAGTGAATGGCGTTGCCCTCAGATGTCACTGTTACCTGGGGTTATCATAGCATCACTGAAATGAGGGTTGGAAGGGACCTCAGGAGGTCATCTAGTCCAGCCCCTACTCAAAGCAGAACCCATCCCCAACTCAGTCATTCCAGCCAGGTCTTGGTCAAGCTGGGCCTTAAAAACCTCCAGGGATGGAGATTCCACCACCTCTCTGGGTAACCTCTTCCAGTGCTTCATTGTCCTCCCAGTGAAACAGGTTTTTCCTAATATCTAACCTACACTTCCCTTGCTGCAGCTTGAAACCATTGCTCCTTGTTCTGTCATCTACCACCACTGAGAACAGTCTAGCCCCACCCCTTTTCAGGTATTTAACAGCTGCTATCAAATCCCCCTCAATCTTCTTTTCTGCCGACTAAATAAACCCAGCTCCCTTAGCCTCTTCTCATAAGTCATGTGCCCCAGCCACCTAATAATTTTTTTGCCCTCTGCTGGACTCTCTCCAACTTGTCCACATCCTTTTTGTAAGTGGGGCCCAAAACTGGACATGGTATTCATCTGTTGTCCTTTGTTTTATATTTAGAGTGCAAATTCGTTTACGCAATGGTTGTATAACACCTTGTGCTGTGGAGTCCTGGTGCATGGCTAGGGCCTCTGTCTTATCTAGCTGGGCAGATAATGGTAATTCACAGCCTTATTAATCAGTGGGATACTGACATTAAAAAACTGCTATTATTGCTGCCTAAGGTTTGATTCGTTCTTGATTGCTCAGATGTATGCCATGAAATATAATAAATTAACGTATTCTATTGCTGAATATTGAAATAAGGATTTTTACCTTTAAAATAAAGACAGTTGAGAATCATCATCACTGTTGCAGGGTTTATGTTCACAAGAGCTTCCTTTATTAATCCTTTGGTGAGCTTCATAATACGCTCGTTGATTTTAGTTATGTAGGCAGGATCTGAGAAGTCAGTTAGTTGAGCCTCTGCAAAGTAGTAACTCTTCATATCGTTTCTGAAATCATTCAGAATGGAAAAGTCCTTCTGAATATACAGATCATTGACTGACCTCAGGGTGTAACCAAAGTTACGTCGGAAGAGCCGATGAGTTAGTTTACGGAAGAGGTTGTGAATCGTCATGATCTCGTACGTAGAGCTGGCATTGATGAAGTCTCGAAAGCCTAAAACTGATAGTACTTCTTGTTGCGTCTGTCCCTTCAGTCCCAATGAAATCATTGCCATCGCGGTGGAAATGCCAACAGGAGCCATCAGAATGTTGTCTGTAGCATTAGTGCTTTCTGTCAGACTCCGAAAAAGATCAAAGCCAAAGTTTGCATTGAGGATATTAAGACGCTGGATTCTGGTTTTACCGTGGAAAAGTTCAAGAATATTCCCTTGCTGAATTTCAGAAATCTTATATGGGACAGCATCAATTATGTCACTGTAGTCGTCATCTTCGTTCAGTATCTTCTCCAAATCTAAGTAATCTTCCTCTTCTTCTTCTTCAGCAATCAGGTCATTGGTTATGGTGTTTTCCCTGTGGAACTCTGGTGGAAGATCAGGCATCTCGTGGGATCCATTTTCATGGAGATGACCATTTTTTACGCTCTGAAAATGCTCACTGAAGTCTTTGATCCCACAAAACACAGGTGTTATGATGAGAGAGAGGGCAAATAAATCAAAGAGGAACTTCATTTTGGTGCATTGAAAGCTGGAAAATACCAATGTATTTTAGTGAGAGAGTGTGGTGAATCAACCCTTTAAGCAGTCACCTAGTGCTGAAGTAGGTTGTTCTTTTTTACCTACATCACATTCCAACTTCAGTTTGCGCACACATCATCTGCTACAAGCAAGCCTTAATTTCTCAGAAAATGAGGGCTTTAAAAAAATTAGAGGACTGAACCATTTTATGAAAATAGCTTCTAAATGTTTGAATTGTGGGGATGGGATGGGAATCCTCAATTAAAAGTGCACATCAGAGGGTCAAGAGAAATTAATCAAATGCTGTAAGGATGGGTAGGATGGGATTTCTTGAGGACAGTGTCTTTGGAAGGGCAACACTGAATTGGGATGGAATAAGGGTCTATGCAAAGAGACACCCATTTCATTAACATTTACAGTTCTGCTAATAATCCTACTGAGACTGTTTATAACATGTAAAGTTAAGCCCTTGAATTCTTCTTTGCCAGATCAGGACCTTTTTTAGGTGTGGTTCCTTAATTTTTTAAGGAGCTGATTAAATACATAATTTTTTTTTGAGGGAATTGTTTGGCTTTCTGGGCATTGTCTGGTGGGAAGGGTTGTTTTTGTGTATTTCTTTGTGAAGGATTATGCATTGATTAGCACTTCCATAAAGTGAGAGCTCTGTTAATACAAAGAATGAAGCCAACACTTTTTAATGATCAGAAATGCAAGTTTCTGAGAAGGCAAGTATCACATTGAAGGAATTAGCCTCAGTTATTCCCTTACTGAGGGCATTTATGCAGAATCCATTTATCATGTGAAATAATAGCCTTCCCATTCCATTGAGGATGTGTGTATGTATATGTGTGTGTGTGTGTGTGTGTGTGTGTGTGTGTGTACACACACATGCGCGCGCACGCATACCCTGTTGTTAGTGTCACATGTAAAGGAACTCGGGGACCTGATTTCTGAGGTGCAAACAGGCTGAAATACTTAACCACATAATTGATATGGATCCAGTAATCCATGATCTGAAATGCATGAAAAGTGGTAATTCACTAGTACAATTTCAGGAGTACTGAAAGGCAAGGGTTTAGGAACCCTTATGCCCTGCATTACAACACCAGCTGTGAAAGGGATAAAAACAGTTGGAAATGCAGAGTCTGGATTTCTGAACTGCTTGCCTGTAGCTAGGTGACTTTGCTCTTATTTTGTTTTACGTTACTTCCATTGCTCTGTATAGGACATATAGTTTAGGAGAAAAATAATATTTAGAAGCTATAATGTGGACAAATAATATTGAATGGCATCTTTACAAGGAATTTTTTTTTAAATGAAGAAAACATTTTTTTTAAAAGCCTTGGAAGATCTTAATAAGAAAGGAGAACTAAGTAGGAAGTGGAAAGAAGAAACACTTTAAATATGTCCTAATGTCATCTAAATAATGATTCTCATTTTCTTGTCCACTGATGTACAAAAAGAACAAAGATCAATTATCTTAAAAACATCTGAGAAGATTATTCCACCTTGAAACAAAATATTGTGCATTTTTTAAGGCTCTATCACAGAACACCATTAAAAACGTCTGCTCTGTGGTGAGTGAAGGATTGTCATCTTAATGCTTCTCCTTTGTTTAAAATGTAAATGACTTCTACATTTTTTGTTTGAGAGGTAGTTGTGTGCAATAACCGCTAATGAAAGATAAGTGCTTTCTGCTTCAGTTATAGTGTTGACATATTTTTGTGGTGCCTAGCTTTTACATTCTTGTCTTTCCCAGAGTTTAATGTATTATTTGCCCTCAGTTTACTGTGGACAACTTATTTCCACGCCCCCCCCCCCCACCCACATTTTTGAGTACATTTTTCTTAAAAGGTTTTTAACTTCAGTCAAAATCTTAGAAAATGTCTTACCTCCAAGCCACTGAGCAGGAAGGATGTGTTGAAGAGCTCAAGTAGGGTGAAAGGCAGGGTTTAAATCTGAACTTTGATGCCAGCAAATTGTCTCTTCTCCCAAAGCAAACATGCCCTAAGTCAAACACTGCTAAACATGCTGCATCAGCCAAAACCCCTCTACTTGTTTAGTGGTCCTTGCCAAGTGATTTGTTTCTTCCATGGAGGTTGTGTGGAGGCTTTTATAGTTTGTGGGGTGATTCCTTGCTTTGGTTCTGTTTGTGGATTTGAAAATCATCAAATGTTTCCCTCAAATTGTGGCCACATTTTATGTATGTTCTCTTGGGGAGCACATGTGGCTGTCAGTTTTACTTTTGCTGCGCCCTCTTTATGTGGACATCTTGCACGCAGACACTGTTAAAATAAAATAATAGTATTTCAGTTGCAAAATCAACAGCAGTGCCAAACCAAGCATCTTAAAGGCAAAAAAGAACTGATCGCTGACCTTGTCCTTTGAGTTAAGCAACACCATTGGGACTGGGGGGGGCACAAGCGCTAAGGCACACAGATGATTCAAGGCCATAGCAGAAGCGCTCATGAATTCAGTTAAATATGTTGTCACACAGAAACAGACCCTCTTCTTAAGTCTCACTGTTCCTTTAGGCTCCGTCTGTTGTAGCTACTTCTTGTTCCTTGTCTGTAGCTAGCTTGTAAGCCCTTCGAGGCGGGGAACATCTTCCCATTATGTGCAAATACCTTGCCTAGAATTCCTGAGTGGGTCCTCTCCAGATTTGATGGTGGCGGGTCCACCTTATTCAAGACTATATTGCTGGAAACCGCTGTGTTCGCCCTAGTAAAATAGCACTTTTTCCTGCTTAAGCTCAGGTGAAATGTTGACTATAATAATGATATAATATTAATGTATATAATGAGAGTCACTATTTCTCATATCTGATTGAGACGTGCAGTTTACAAAGTGTTTCTTCTTTGCACAAAATCCATGTGATCTAACAAGGTGCCTGAGGCTTTTTAATAGATTCATAAGCATGCTGTTAATTTTCTACACCTCTGGAGAGAATTACTACATGACTAGGAAGACTCTCTCCCATAAGCCACGTTTGTGTATAAATATTTAACTCATAGTAGCAAAATCCAGTCAAGCTGGACAAAAAAAGGGCCACCACCCATCTCATCCCAATTTGAGAAGCCTGTTCCTATTTCAGATGTACTGTATGCTCTAAGGCAGGGGCGGGCAATTATTTCGGGTGGAGGGCCGCTTACTGAGTTTTGACAGGCCATCGAGGGCCATATGACAGGCAGCCAGGGGCAGATAAATATTAATTTTCTTAATTTTGGGGGGGCCCCGTGGGCCGGATAGAATGGATGCATTTGGCCCCCGGGCTGCATTTTGCCCACCCCTGCAAGATTTGGAGGGGTTTATGCCATACACTCCTGGCCTCAGTGTTCAGTCTGTGCCGAGGTGGCTAGAAGAGGAAAACCTATTCAGTTCTTGCTCACTAGGAGTTAGAGGAGGGGGTCTGAACTGTGTAACACAAGACAAATAATGGTTCACTGGGAGCTCAAGGGCTCTGCTGGTTTGGCAAGAATTTATTAAAAGCAAACAGAGTCCTGTTATTTGCCTGTATACAGATAGCAAGGTCTTTGGGACAGGACCTATCTGCATGAGTGTACAGTAACTGCTCCCTGTTTGGGGCCCCTAAGCACTAGCACAAAACAAACAATAAGTGATTCTAATGAATGCTGAACAGAAGTAGCTGCTATCTGTGCTTTAGTGATAACTTGATTCTGCACACCACTGTCTTTGCCCTACAGTTTGAAGATGATGGTGATCAGGGTCTGAATTTAATTATCCGGCTGTGCGTTGTGCAACATTAAAACATCTACTTTCAGGTGTTAGCTTGTATTGATACAGAATTACTTCTTCTGTATCACCAAGTCCAATGCTTGGAAAATTAGTAGTTGCTACAGCACTATGCCAAAATGGAGCTGTTTATCCATAGCTTTGACAGTAACCGGATAATTTTCAACAATATGCTTAATCAACTGGTGGAGCTAACTTCTAAGTGCTAGAGTAACACAGTATGAGGTTATATGGACAGATTCCTTTACATCAGTGTTTCTCAACCTTTTAAGTAGCAAGTACTCCCTAACTTTGAAAATTTTATTAAGTACCCCAACACTCAATTTTCCATGGAATTTTATGTTTACAGACTAATGTGTGCCATATGTCGGAAGAAGGGCTGTGTGTATAGGGCCGTGATATGACAGATGTCTGATCTGGTGTGGGTAGGGTTGCTACCATTTACACCAGAGGTGCACAACTCAAGTATGTACCTAGGCTAGAGGTGATGTTGGCCAAAGCTAGGAGGGCTGAACCCAGTGCCACGCAAAACACAGCACGCCAAATTATTATTGGGGAATTTAAAGTGCCATGCAGTGCATGGTGCACCACATTTTTTGCCATAGTTTTGAGAGGAGAAGAGAGAGAGAGAAAGAGGGTGAGAGAGTGCTGGGGTACCTGCGTACCCCCTGCCTGTGTCTCGCGTACCCCCAGGGGTACACATACCATAGGTTGAGAAGCTATGCTTTACATAACATTAAGTTATCATGACCCTTCTCTTCTCTACTTTCTTTTTAGCTCACACGACGCTTGCCACCCATCAAGGAAGCCAAACCCAGGTTACAGAAGCTGTTTCGTGATTTTTGGCTCTACTCGGTGCTCATGGGATTTGCTGTGGAGGGATCAGGTAAGCTGACTTCTTATGGAAAAAGTATCATTGTTGATCTGGGAAAGTCGGGGGCATAGGATGATAATAGGTAAAATAGAAACTGCTTGCATGTCAAGAGGCTTCACAGGCACCCATCCAGCCATGTTTATTATGCGTCTGAAAAGTGGACTGTTTGTGTTGGGTCTGTTTCCCTTTGAGTGAATCTCATATTTTTTGAGAGTGAACCAATTGAGTATCATTTTAAAACTAATTAAACTAAACTAGGTTTAGGTTTCTTTAGTAGTTAAACAAGCTGCAGTGGTCTTAATGGAGCACCTTAGCATACTTTGCCTTGGCATAGTTGGTCATGCTCACCCTCTCCATTTTTACTACAGGTCTTTGGCCAGAAGAGTGGTATGAAGGGGTCTGTGAAATAGCCACTAAGTCTCCGCTACTTACATTTCCCAGCAAAGAACCTCTTCGTTCTGTCCTTCAGTACAACTCTGCCATGAAAAATGACACAGTGACTTCTGTAAGAACCACTTTCTTCTACTGTGCCCCTTTGAGGCATTAAATGAAATATTTGATATTTAACCAGTAGATATTGCTTTGCAATAGCATCGTGATACCTTCATTTAACCTGCATTGATGAAAAACAGTACCTTTTAAGTGCATACTCTCATCATAAAAGCTGTATGTAGCGTAACAGAACAAAAAGTAAGAGTATCAGCATCAGCTAGGACCAGAAGCTTCAGTCCTCTTGGCTAGTATCCAGGTTTTACTAGGGAGTGAAACCTTTTAATGATGCTTCATGTTTTTCCTGTGTCTGACAAAAATCTGCTCAAATTCTGTTTCTAAAGTAAAATGACATTCTCTATTTTCTCTCTTAAAATGGCTTCCGGCTGAGCCTGTGGAGTAGGTTCTTATTGTAAAGATAAATAAATGGAAGGATGAATAACCAGTGTAAAATTGAGAGCCAAATTTTCTACTGATATGACTTCTCTGACCCGTTGGTTACCCCAGCGGAGAGCTTTGTCCTACTTTTAATGTACTGTGGTGAGCTCTGCTGCTTGAATCTGACTGATCAGGAATGAGCATATTGGTTGTCCTTATTTCCCTTCCTCCCTCCCTTAACAGCTCTTGTATAACATTCAAGTACCTGGCTGTACATTGTAAGAGCTTGGGTACCTTTTTGCTTTCCTCTTTACTTGTATGTACAGTTACACTGTGAACGGTTTTTAAAAAAACAGAGCATAAGTCAGTAGTAACCTAAATGTAGTTATTTTTAAAATACAAATAAAAATAGTACCAAGTTGAATCTATTAATTTCTTAGGCTGAGCTGAACGAATTACGGAGCACCATTATAAATCTCTTGGATCCTCCTCCAGAAGTGTCGGCACAGATCAATAAACTGGACTTCGCTATGTCTACCTACCTACTGTCTGTTTACCGTCTAGAGTACATGAGGTATATTTTTGTTCGTGGATGTTGCTTTTTTTAAATTCTTGGTTCCTGGCATTTTGTACGCGCTTAAGTTTAATCTGGACACACAGGATGAAATTGTGATTTTTGTTGTTGTTGTAGTTAGTGCAATTTTGGCCCCACTAAATCATTTGGACCAGGATTTCATTTTTATTGCAGCCCCTTTACAGCAGGAAAAAGGGCTGGACTGGTGCAAATGGCCCATAAAACCCCAGTTCTGGCTTGGAGGAGATTTGCTCTGCTTCAACAGCTGTAGTAGACTCCCTTCCAAGAACCCTCAGGCAAGCTTAAAGCGTCCTTAGCCCCATCTACTCAAGGTAGTTAGAAATGCAGCACAGAATCTGCCCTGTGACATTTCACAGTTGTTAAGATGTTGGAGTCAGTATTCCTGATGTATAGTAGAGCTTGTTTCTGGCTAGTATACTTTTATTTGCAGTAGCAAAACGCTCAGGAATTGGTATGAGAGTTTTAGGACTCTTAGGTGAGAGTTGAAAGGGGCGCTCCCGCTTGCACTTGCTCGCTCACTCACTCTCATTTGCTCTCTCCACGCCTAATGATAAGTCAGCTGTGAGGACCAGTGCTTTGATGGTCCAAAATGTGTTGGCTCTAGAGAATGGTGGTATCTTTGTTAAAATGTCCTGTAGCTATGACTTTGTGAGTGCTTCACCATATTTCTCTTACTTTTGATGGTTTTGTGCAAATTTGTTAAGCAGGTCACAAGCTTTTTCTTTGTTCTCTAATCCTTATTAGCTGGATATATATCCAAAGACTTGGCTATTAAATTTAATGGAAATTTTGTGTTACTCCTTTTTTGGGAACTACCTAGTCACTGCATATGGGCATATACTGAAGAGAAAAACCACTGTTCGAACATTTAGCTTTGTGTGGAAGGTGCTGAAGATTATTTTTGTCTTA